ACGCCCCATATATATATATATATAGATATATTCGGTTTTATTCTGAACGGGCTGTATGTAATTTCACATTAAAAAGAGATATTAGAACGGTCATATTCCGTAATAGGAGTAAATAATAATTTATTTGTAATACTTTAAGGAATATAATACATGTTATGTAATTTCACAATAAAAAGTTACCTATTAGAACGCTCATATTCTGAAATAGGAGTAGGAAAAAGGAATTATACAATAACGGTCCATATAGACCTCATATCAGGATTACGCCTAAGACCAAGCAAGCTCGTTATTTTTTAAGCCAAATAATGAGACAGTGTAGTGTTTAAAATTATAATGTATTATTAAATTAAGCAATGAATGATGCATGATGCGTTAATTCTATTTTTGTACCACTAAAAGCTTTCTTTGGTGAAATATTTGTGGTATAAATGTACCCTATTATTTTTTTAATTACACAAGACGAGCAAAAACTTCATTCAAAGAAATTTAAATTATGTTTGTAGTGGAGTAAAAAATAAAGCGTTATTTTTAAATTATATTTATGATCTTTGTTCAACTGAGATATTTAATATTTTTACAACCCATAAAATACATTACTTAACAATAGTTTTCCATAAATTAATAGGAGTTTCTTGGAATAATAATAGATAATTAATATTAAAATACATAAAACCATGAACGATTTATTATAAATGGCGATATCCCCACAACAAATATATGTTATCAACAAATCTAGAATGGTTTAAAATAACGCACTAACGAAGTATGAAAAAATATTATTAAATTATTTGTGTAAGCTTTAAGATCCCAATTTAAATATTGAAGACTCAGAAACACGGCTTACAAATTATAATTGGAAAAAATATGCAAAGGTTATGTTCATTTTAGGCAAGTCATCACGTCAAATGCTTGTTACCTGTTTTATTTATATGCATGAAGATTATAAACCATGATTAAGTTTATATGATCACGCTTTGAATGCTTTGACTACGACTAGGGTTAAATTAAGCCCCACACTGACATTAAATCAATTTTTAAATGGGTTGCTCATATATTTTTTTTACTATTTAGGCTTTTACAATCTCATGACTATTTTTGTTTGTTTCAGGTATGTACCCAAATTAGTTAGGTAAGAGTATAATTATTATTTATAATAAAGTGTATTAACACTGTTTATGGTAAAAGAGTTTAAAATAAAAAAAAATCAATAAACTTTAGAGCAACCAACTTTGTATATTATTGATAAATTTTAATTATATACTAGTAAGTCATAAACTAAAAGTTATATTTGTATTTTCAGTAGGGATAAATCTGGATAAATATTTGCTACACACTCAATGTATAAATTAAAATAATAATAATTATAATTGCCATAGATTCTCGTAGTACCAGACGTCACTATTGGGCTATCAAAAGCTTTTGAAAATATAAAAACAGCGTACCTATATAAATAATAAAGTTCTTGATAAACTAAAATTTAATGTACAGCCCGTTCAGAGAAAAAACGAATATATCTATATATATATGGGGCGTGGCCTCGCCTCCCTCCAACGCGCGACACAGTAGCTAAGCAAATAGCCTGCATCGCTAATGAGATTTTTTGCATTATTATCATTTAATTTTTCGTCGTCTTACCTGCTCGACCTTTCGTCTTGTAGTTTATCACACAAGCTACTGTGACGCGCCTTGGAGAGAGGCGAGGCCACGCCCCATATATATATATATATATATATATATATATATATATATATATATATATATATATATATATATAAATATATAGATATTCGGTTTTACTCTGAACTTGCTGTATGTATTATGTAAGTTTAATAAACGCCATTTTAGTAACGAATTTAATTTAGGCACGAGCGAATGCTTAATTAAATGAGTGCCTAGAAAAGTTTAACTAGTTGCTTATTATACTTCTTCTACCACAAATACTTAATATTATCTAAATAATGATTTAAATTAAATATTTGTATAAAGAGACAATAAAGTAACAATCCCATTAAACATTTTTGACGTAACTTTCACCATTAACATTGAGACCTTTTAAATACACATTCACAAGCTATGACTTTATGGCGTTTTAATCACGAGCTGAAGTTGGTTTTTAGCTTTAAGTTAGTTGACATTTATCAAATATCATACAATCGTCAAAATAAACTGCTCTTATAAAATAATAGTAAATGTGAAAATTATTTTATTATCTTATAATATATAAGACTTATATGCACGTTTGTACTAACTTTTTGATTTCGCCGGCCATCGACTGGTTTTTACCCATAAAGCATTACGAATTTCGGGGGAAGTACCCATAATTTTTACTTTCACTGTAAAAACTGCTTCTATATTGGATTTAAAAGGTTGTTAGTCCATTTCAAGGGATAAATTTCGATCTTTATAAAAAAATTTGAGAACTAACACAGTCATTTTGAAACCCGGGAAAACCTCTATTTTTTATGGATATCGCTATATGTTAATATTTAAATTAATTAATAATAAATTATTTTTTATACCTAATAAAATTTATCGTAAAAAAGTATAGTATGCAAATTCTTTTCTAGATACTCCCAAGCTCGCTTGTGCCTAATTAAAATTCATGAATAAAATTGTTTATACAAAAGGGCTCTTTTAGTTCTTAAGAAGTCCCAGAAACATAATAAACTATTATTTTTAATCGTTCTATAATTAAAAAATTATTATTATTAATACTTACTACTGAAGTGATTGATTATCGCCTAGGCTGATAACATAATGACCAATTAGGTAAAGTTTTTTTTACCTTCTAGTTTGTAAAAAACCCGTTTGGATCAATCCAAAAATCCGACTTCTGTTATTTCTATCTAACCTCACTTTCATCTTTCAATAATTATTTTTTAATTCTACTTTTCTGTATCGTTTATAAATAAAATTGTGCCTTGAAATTAAAATAGTGTGCTTCGCTACCTATGCAAACTATTATTTTCCATAATTGACACTAAACAATTTGATTTCTTCTAATTTGGTAGTTTTAAAATCATTTAATGTGTACCTATTATTTATTGTAATTAAAATTGTGATATTCAATTTACATTTTTTAATATTGCAGTGTATTAACTGTGGGAAAAAATACTAAAAATGTATTATCACTTTTTCGTTAAAATTCTCTATTTGTATTTTTATGAAATTACTTATTTGCACATTTACTTTAAATCCATGCCCGATTTAATTACTACAATATTCGCAAATTTTAGCAGAAAAATTCTAATTTTTCGATTGATTGGATTAAAAAAAGAAAATAAATTTCCAAAAAATAAAATCTTACATAAAACATTTGAAAAAAAAAAGACGAAAAAACCCCGAGTAGAACAAAAAAACCCGGACGATTTTTATTCACGTCGCATAGACTTTGATATAGAGATACCAGTCTAAAAGTTGTTTACGTACGGCCATAATGGAATTACCAAAATACAATTTATTATAAAAAATGTATTCATAACTTTTTATAAACATAGATTTAAAAAAAAATGGCATTGATAATATACGGGTCAAGAATTATTATTAATTTAACAAAAATTGGTGCTTGTAGGTTTTTCGAGTGTAAAAACTTATATTTGACATTGAAATTTCCGAAAACACGATAACTTCCCAAAAATAAATATTTACTTATTGGATTTTTCAGCCTTTTAAGGCTTTAAAGACAAGCCTTCTTGATTCAAATGTTTTGGTAATTTTTTTATAAAATTAAACTATTCATAGGTATTTTAAAAGTATAATACACTGAAAAAAATTTGTTGTAAAATTACATAGAAAATAATGGGTTATTTTATACCCATTATTTTCCTTGTAAAATTGCATCAAGTTTGTAATTTAAAATTATTACAATATTGTTGTAAAATTCAAAATTGTAAAATTACATTAATGTTGTAATGAATATTTTTTTACAATTTTGTTGTAAAATTAAAAATTGTAATATTACAATAAACTAGTACTTTTGAAAAATTTACAAATTTGATGTAAATCACAAATTGTAAAATTACAAATATCGTAACTCTTCTTAATTTTGGTCTGCTTTTAATTTTTTATTATTTTTATTTTTGTATGTATCTACCACAATAATAAAAATTAAGCACAGACCAAAATTAACACAATTTCAAGGAAAATATGACATAATTTTTATATACCCAACTAATTAGCCTATTGTGTTATTTTTTAATCACAAATAGGCAAAAAACCCTTAATTTGATCTTTGGGTATATACATCTCAAAAATAAAAAAATATAATTCCGTGCATATTCAAAAAATAAATATATTTTGTTTTATTTTAAATATAAACGAGATTAGATTGTATTAAGTTATATTTTTACCTAAAAATAATAAGAAGAAAAAACCCTCACTCTTACCAATAACATTTAAATAATGCAAAATATGTTTTGCAAATTAAATTAGTTGTATTTGCTATTTAAATAAAATAAATTAAAAATTATTATAAGATTTTATAATTCTAATAAATAAAAAAACAAAAAAAAATAAAACAAAACATATACCTATATTAATACAAATAGAAAGTAATAATAAATAATATTGTCTTAAGAAAAAACGTTCAAAACGTGTTTTTGTCTAGTTTTTGTGATACTGAAATTATAATTTAAATATATACCTATATAAAAAATTGAAATTTTTGTTATATAAATTTTCTTATTAGACCAAGAAAGTTAGAGATTTGATTGGTGCGGTAACTTAAACGAGAATACTTTTTCTTGTGTTCTTTATTACTTTTATATTAAAATACATTATAAAAATACATAGGTACTTCTAAAGTTAAAATAAAATAATTATTTAAATAAAATGGCAACGTATTAAAAAATGAGTTCAACAAAAAAAAACTCGTTAAAACAAATTTGTTTAACTTAAACATTATAATTTACTATTTAATAAATTTACCATTTCAATTTTTTTTAATTTATTAATTTAAGTTATTACTTTTTTTTGTTTTATTTTTTTTCATTTTCCACTTGTCAGGATGTAGTTTTAAGTAATATCTTTGGATAAATTTCAAAACACAAGAACCTTGTAAGTTCTTTGGCTGGAACAGAAAAATATGTAAAGATGTTTTATAAAAAAAATGTAAATATATTTACACTTACCTATCTTTGCAATACAAGGAATCTGTGACTTTAAACAGTCTAACTCATCAGATTCTTCCTCTGGAATCTAAAATAGAATATTTATTTAGATAGGTGAGCACCTATATACACTATACTATACATATACTATGATAAGTTTTTTTATTTAATTTAAAAATTTAAACACCTACCTTTATTTAAAAACAGCATTTAACGCTTTGAGAATATTTAACATCACTGTAATGTGATTGATTAATGTGTACATATATTTTTTTAAAGTTAAAAATTTCCTTAAACAATCTTTTCTCATGCGTTTAAAAAGCGATTTATAATTAAATAAATGATATTTTAAATGAATCTTATATCGAATAATTGCTTTAAATGTTAACTGACAAATATATTACATTTGTAAATCATACTTACCACAATAAAAAGGAACAAAACGGCACACGCTTTAACAAGGGACACGTTCTAACCAAAAAGACATTGATTCGATGCATGCAAAGTTGTCGGGAGCATCACGTGATATATTTATTTTATTTGATTGGTTATTTTTTTTACAATAAACTATAAAATAATACAAAAACAATGTAATTTCACACACAGAAAGTAAAACTAATAATTATTTTTACAATAATATGGTAAAAATGTTAAGTTTTTGTAAAAATAAGAGACATTCCTTGTAATTTTAATTTTACATGCATTTCATGATAAAAATACCTTGAAAAACCAGATTATTTTACAATAAAATTACACACATTTTTTTCAGTGTAGCTGTATCCCCGTGAAATGGGGGAAAATGAGGGGTCGTTTTAAAAATTAATCACAATCCACAGCCCCCGCCGCCTATCAAACCAAATTTATTTTATGTATATAGAAATCTATTACCATATTCGTATAAGGCTTAATTTTCCTTTTACAAGTTTTCCAATTTTGAACTATCCTTGTAAAAAAGTACACTTTCTTGTTAATTCTAAATTTAGGTGTCCTTTACGATAGTTTTAATAATTATTGTCTGCCCACTGAGTTGAAAAATTTATGAGAACGAAAATAAATCACCCTTAAACGAGTTGAAAACATGGTTAATTCTCGTTAGTATAATAAAACCGATTCTATTGTTTTAAAAGATGTTAATAAAAAATTTATATTTACATACTTAAATAGTTAATTTTATAATTTGAATTTTATAGGCGCGTAATTAAAATAATTAAGTCATAAATAATGTAAATAAAACGTGATATAGAAACGAAACATGCACATTTAATTCAATGTAGATTTGCATTTTTTTAAGCAGGTGTATAATTAAGAATTTCTTTTTGTACTATAATTATAACGATCGACTGTTATAAAACGCCATAAATTTAAAATCTAACCATAGGTGACCTGGTTGTTGCAAAAAAGCAAACAGCGTTTCTCAACCAAATTATGGGCTGTCAAACATCCGCTCGAGACTAACCATATACAGCACTTTGTTTTTAGCCAAGCATTAAGTATACCTATATTTGTGTAAGCTGAATATCAAAAAACGTTAATGTTTTAGTTCCTCGGAAAATTATACGTGGTGCCTTGAATGCTCGTGTACCTTTTTTTACAAGACATTTTATATAAATAAATATGTTTAAACCTGCACCTGACAACTGCAGTTAACCGATGTGATTACATGCTTTGTTATTTCTTAATGTTCCTAAAGTAATTTTTTGTAATTATTAAGTTATGTTGTGAGATCCGGGCCCCACACAAACAGCACTTTTTTCTTAATTTGTAAATAATAATGTGAAAATACTCGCGATTCGATAGCGCAAGACCTAGAAACATAAGTTAATTATTTATTTTTTCCATCTGCTCATTTAAATTACAGGATACAAATAAAATGAGGGATAAATTCTTCAGTACGTTGTAGGGGACATTTAGTAGAGTAAAAGGTAAATTTAAAAATATATATACAAAGTTTGAGTTTTTTATTTAAATTTATTACTAAAATAAGGATTAACCAAAACAAATTTAAGTCTGTGGAAGCCCGTGTAAAACAGAAGTATAGAAGTAATAGAAATTAATAATAATTATTATCTTATCTTAATTATTAAGAAACGAAACTTAAAGAACAATAACAAAATGTACGAAAATAGTTACAAAAAGGGCTCAAAATTTTGTACTTGCACATTTAAACAAAGTTGAGTTCGCCGCACAATGTTGTTCTGTACTTGTTCCAGCATTTGAGGCGTTACGGTTGCGGAAGCATTTTGAATTTTGTTTATAAGATCTTCTTCATCATTTTGAACTGAAGTCCCTTGGTGTCCAGGCCCATTTTGACCTATCCACTGTCCGAAAAATTCCCCCATTTAGCCAAACTCTTACTTGGACAGCCCTTCCTGCAATTCGTTTGTTAAGAGTTCAAGTAAATTGTTTCAATTCAGGCATTGTCAGGCAATATTACTGGTCCTATAAGTTTATTACCAAAAATTCCAGCCCACACATTTACCCCAATCCGTTGTTGATGGTGATGTTCAACAGTTTCCATTCAACCTGTCAGGCAACATAAGTGGTCCTATAAGCTTAGTACCCAAAATTCCAGCCCACACATTTACCCCAAACCGTTGTTGATGGTGATGCTCAATAGCGGTTTTTCTAAATAATAATGGTTATTGTTTTGATTAAAACATCCATTTCTTGAAAAATTCGCTTCATCAGTCCACAAAATATGGGACGTAATGTAGGGTTGGGTTGGGTTGGGTAATTTACCCACAGTTGGAAATCATTTGGTAATAGAGCATGTAATGGTAAGGGTAGTGGCCTTCACCAACAAGAAATGTATTAAGTTACATGCAAAAAATTTAGTTCAGCAGCAATACTTCTTGTAATTCGTTTAGGATCTTTTTCCAAAAGTTCAAGAACTTGATTTTCCATTTGGGGTGTAAGAATAAGACGAGGACGACCGCGGTCTAGACCTGCAGCTGTAGAAAACATTCGGTGCTTTGGTCTTCTAAACTGGATTTGGAAATCTTCCACATAAAGGTTTGCAGCTAGTAACGCGTTTTGGCGGCATTCGCCAGAAATAAAAGCCATGTCGGCATATTCGCGATTTGAAAACATTTTTGTATTTTTAAAAAAAGTCAAAACGAAGTTGAATATTAAATTGTTGTTACATCATTACTTACTTGGTAACAATGTAGGTAGTTAAGGTACTAAAACCGTTCTTGCCAAATACTTTTTACAGATGCATCTTGAAAAACGTACGTTCTTATTAAATTTACAGTCCCGCTTAAACATTTTATGGAATTTTTGAAATTGATACGATTAAATAATATAGTTCTTGCAAATGCCTAAAAAAAATAGTGGAATCTTAACTTTGACATTTTTTATCTCACCAACTGAGTTTTTTATTATTGTCCCCTACAATGTACTGAATAACTGCAGTTTTAGTAATTTTTTACACTTTTCAAAGCTTTCAAACATACGAATTTTTGAATTAAAAAAAATAATCCTGGTATAGATTCTTTGGGAAATTTTATGCTCTACAAGAATCCGCGACGTAAAAATTTTTATCTCAAACGGTTCAAAAGTTATAGTCTAATTAATTAAAAAAGATTTTTTTACGTGTTATTTCAATGGAAAACTTAGAATGCTCACCGACACCTTTTAAAATTTAGCAAAAATTTTGCCTTGCAGGGAAATTTTTTGCTCGGTATGTAGGTTTATTTTAACCCATAAATCCGATAGGTTAGTTTTTTTGGCTCACCCTACTGTATATTCATAATAGATAAATCATGTACCTATACTATCGATTTTACATTTTTTTCTGACCTTTATTGGTAAAATATTTACTAATTTTAAAGCATTTAAAATATTTTCTCAGTAAAATAAATCGTGGATCAGCTTGCGTTTGCCAGTGTTAAATTATAGATGTCAATAATTCAAGATTAACGTAATAAAAAAAATAATAATTACAATTAATTACTTATGTAAAGATAGTAAATAAAAATAACAATAATTTATAGATTCCGTCAAACCATCAATAATATAAAATATTTAAATCAAATTAAGACTTCAAATAAAGTGGTTAAAATATTTATGTAAGTAGGCACTTAAAATTCTTAAAACGTAATTTATTATAGTTGCTGGTTTTCTGATAACACTTAATAATGCTAAAGAAAACCACTATGTATATTCATTACCTCTTCAGGCTGTTTATCCATCGCTTACCATTGTTTATTTAAAACAATTTACAAAGTGTTGCGATTGGTTATGCTGCGTTTTCAATGCCTAGCCAACGTTATGGACAATAAGATAATTTTGAACCATGCTTAAAAGTTTTAGTAAATGTTTATTGTGTAAGCTTCAGTAGAATAGAATTTCTGAATTGATTCTTGTTATTTTTAAATGTTTTTGTGCCATGTTAAAATTATGTTTTCATTGAAAACTTTTCAACATCTAATATCACATTTGTTTGTATGTTTATATACTAAAAATAACATTTTTTATGAAATGGACATTTGTCAGATAATATGTAGCCCGGGCGATAGCGACTGATTTTTCTTGTTAATATATCTAGTTTTTTTACCATGATAGTATCAATATACAAGTGAATCCCCTATTATATATAACAAAATGTATATATTCATTTTGTCTTTATAAATATTTGAGGGCTTTTGCAACCATTTCCATGCATACATTGATAGGTAGGAATATTTTAATGCATGTATCTCATTTTTATCAAAGCGGATTTAAGGGGTTTTGATACTAGAGGATTAAAGTGCAAGTCTGCCAAACTTTTAGGGTGAAAACATGATAAAAAAAACATGTAGGCACCTAACGTCAATTCTTTTGTCAGTGGCAGATTCCTAACCTTAATTATACTGAAAGTCTTTCAGTGAAAGAGATAGATACTTGCCTCAATTATATTGAGATATTATAAGGCATCACTCGAACCCCCTTCCCATTAAAATTTTTGGAGGTAACTATCACCCACGTTAAGGGGTTGAAATTGAGGGGTTGAAAATATAAAAATAAATTTTCCCTCTAAAATCAACAACCGTTTAAATCCGATATGGTAAACAGTTTTTCAAAATGAAAGTAAAGAGAATGTTTTATGGGTACTTCACACAAAATTTGTAATGCTTTATCGGCAAATACTAATTACTTACTGCCGGCGAAATTAAAAGCTTTTTAGATAATGGCGTCAAGAAACAATTTAATAATTTTGTAATTTTATATTGAGATAATAAAATAATTTAAAGAAGTGTCTGTCAAAATTTTTAGTTACGGACTAAAGTTATAACTTCAGTCCGTGACTAAAAAGCTTAACAGCCACTGCTGCTAACTTCAGCCTATGACTAAAACGCCTTAAAGCCATAAAGTCACAACTTGTCCGGTGTATTTAAAAAACTTAGTGTCATGGACATGTACGATATTGGTCATTTTAAAGGTAGGACCTAGAAATTTTTCTTTTTAAATAAACAAAACGTTTAAAATTTTCTTATCTGTATTAAAACAGTCTAATTTAAACAAAAACTGTTTAATAATGTCACAAGACCCTTTTAAAATTATGGCATTATTTTATTGCCTACATGTACACTATACTGCCCTGGTAAGCCAAACCCCCGTATGTACAATATTGAGTTATAAAGGACAAAAAAACATTTTCATTGTTAAAAACAATAAAAATTATCTGTTGTCCTTTATTACTGAGTATTGCGGATGCGGGGGTTTGGCTTAGCACAGCAGTATGCATATAAGTCAAAATAATTTAGGTGCAGAATTTGAGTTGGAGATAATTTTCTTAGTTTAATTTAAAGTTTTAATATTTAATAAAAATTTATATTATCATTTTTTACAAATAATTAAAAAAATACAGTGTGACCCATTTGTTTGCGACTCACCCCTGTAAAATCTTTATTTATTGTGCGATTTTAACCGGATTTGTTTTAAAGTGTAGATCTTGAGAAACTGTATTTTTAAAATCGCAGAATAAATAAAGATTTTACAGGGGTGAGTCGCAAGCAAATGGGTCACATATAATCTATTAATCATTACGAATTAAATAATTTATTTAGGCTTATATTTATTAATTTTAAACTTTATAACATACTTTATAGGTATACCATTTAAAATATAAATTAAAGAGACAAAGAAAATATAAATGTTGAAGGTTTAGAAATAGATAACAGACATTAAGTAATTTTATCTACTCCTACATTGACGAGCTGTCACTTTATGGCGTTTTATTGACGGGCTGAAGTTAACAACAGTGGCTTTTCGACATTTTACGTCACGGGCTGAAGTTAGCTTTATTATAAATTGGGAAAAAGTGAGGTTAAATTCGGGTGACAGTTGACAGATGTCAAAATTTTAACAAATAAAATTGGCATTAAATTCTGTTTTGTGTTCGTCGTAGATAAAGTATAGTATGCAACTCGTTTATAAACTTCTCTAGACACTTGTTTTTATTAAACACTCGCTCGCAAGCTTCGCTCGTGCTTAATTAAACTCGTAACTAAAATGGCGTTTATAAAACTTGATACATAATATACTATTTTCTACTCCCACCTTTAAAACGCCCTTTATCGTACATGTTTACATGACACTAAGTGACCTTTTAAATACACATTGACAAGTTGTTGCTTTACAGCGCTTTAGTCACGGGCTGAAGTTAGCAACAGGTTTTTAGTCACGGGCTGAAGTTAGTTTTAAGTTAGTTGACAGTTGTCAAATATCATACAATCGTTAAAATAAAGTGCCTTTCTTTTAAAATAATACTAAATGTGAAAATTATTTTATTATCTTAATACAAAAATATTAAATAGTTTCTCAACGCCAATATTTGAAAAGTTTATATGAACATTGTACTGACCTTCGCCGGCAGTAAACTATAATAATAATAATAATAATAATAATAGTGCTTTATTGCCCAACAGTTAAACCATTACAGGACATTCATATTCAAAATATGTAAATATATAACTTAAATTCGGGCACGGACTCTACTGTAAGGTCCTCATAAAACATTTCCTTTACTTTCACTGTGAAAAACTGTCAATTTTCAAGATACATTTCGATTTATATATATATTTATAACCTTTATAATTGTGTTTATAAAAAATGTGACATTTGACAGTTTCCGCTGTTGTTTAATAGATGGCGCTCTATAAATTTTTTTGATTTAAATCATTTTAAGATAATAATAAGTATTTGTCGTAGAAAAAGTATAGTATGCACCTCGTTTATAAACTTTTCTATACACTCATTAACTTAAGCACTCGCTCGCAAGCTCGCTCGTGCCTAAATTAAATTCGTGTATAAAATGGCGTTTATTAAACTTGATACATAATATACTATTAACGTTATTTTTAAGTACATTTGTGGTATTAAATTTGTTATTATTACATTGTTTTTTTTGATCGCTTGGAACATAATATATTATGTAAACCATCTCCAAATTTGGTAATATTTTATTTGTACCCTTATTTTACCGGTTTTTGTTTACTGTAAAAATAATTTATGAGTCAACTTATAAGTAAAGAATCTTTACTAAAGATGTTATTTTAATTTAAAATGCTGCTTAAAATGAGTATATAGGTAGGGGGTAATTTAAAGTATACATTTTTTTTCCGAAGAGTAGTTTTTAGGTTATTAGGAATTTAAGTTTAAAATCGAGATTGTTTTGCTAACAAAATTCAATAAATATTAAATGTTATTAGTTAATTTACAGATATATTTTATGAAGCTTAAGTCAGGATTTTAATTAAACTTGAAATCGATAAATTTATTTTCTTCATTACTTTATGTTGTTTGATTAATCCTTATTCCCTGTATTCAAATAATGCATCTACATGTAGAAGGGGAATATTATTAATGAATTTAACTTGGGTAAAAACTTACTACCTGCGTTAACTATTACATAAAATGTTATTTATTAAACGAGTAAATTAAATGGAAAACATTAATTTATTGATTTAATTTATATGCAGATTTTATAGATTATCGCGAGATTTACTTGTATCGTGTGGTTTCACATAAGCGCATTTATTTTAAATGCATATTCAATAGGCGTAGTCGAAATGTAAAATACAAACTTGAGGAAATTGCTTCAGAAT